TTGAGACAACATATATTTTATTAAAATTTATGTTTAGTTTATTTAAAAAAGGATATCGAGACATAATGCATGTCGGTCATGCAAAAGAAATATATTGTAGGAAAAAAAATTATTACAATTTTATTATTCAACCCTATAATTAATACATAGATTCCAAGATTTCTTCCCAAGAACATTCAAATTATATACATATGTCCTTTTTAATTAGATGAAAACTTAGGACCATGAAGAATTTAGGACCTTTACTTTTTCAGTTTGGTATCTAATGTAAATCTCTGCACTAGTAGTGATACGATGTAGAACCCCCCCCCCCCCAAAAAAAAAAAATTAGATAAACAATTAAATGTATAAGCAGAAATTGTTGTTAAAATTATATAACCAAAAAATATATAAGTTTTTTAAGTAACAAACCAAAGTAGTATGTGTAGGTAAGCAGGTTACGATAATTTACCAAAAGCATTCAAAATTACAATATCTTAACTATGTTTTGTAGATTTTGGAGCATCTCTAGGTGTTTATAAATTTTTTCATTTGAGCTGTTATGTATTTAGTATTCACAGCTATTTAGCATAACACTTTTCGCAACTGCTGATATAAAAAAAGACCTCTTGCAATGAATCAGCTTGCTCAATGCCAAGTAGACAGTTAACAGCCTTCAATTTCTAAGATAGGGTGTTAGAACTCTTTATTTTAAATAAATAGCTAAGACAGCATAATGGTACAAAATAATGTGCAATAGTCTATCGCATGTTAGTACTCGCGTAACTGTATTTGATATGAAACCAACATCAGAGAATAATTAAATGAATAAGGGAACTCAAAGAAAGTGCAAGAAGTTCATATAAAATACTAGTTCAGTTTTTAAACATTGACTGTTACTGCAGATGTATTTCATTGAAATGCAATTGGGTGATAGTTGTGCTCCCTTAAATAAGGGGGGGGGAATTTTGAGAAATTAAAATTGTTCAGTAATCGTAAATTAGAATTGTAGAAAATATCATGGGCTCAATTTGTAAGAGACATTTTGCAAGTTATTTACATATATGAATACTCCTTTAAAGAACAAGAGACATGAGCTGAATGCTTTAAAGAAATATTTTACCCAACCGCTATAGAATATTAGCATACTTCAAAGGAAATGTATATTGCACTGAATATCAGTACATAACAGTTGTCCTTTGTGTAAAAACAATATGATGTAACAGAGAATTACATAATCACATTGTAATGCATGCATATAAATGCAATAACTCTTTTAAAAAAGCTTTCAAAAATCTTAAAGCAAAATACTTACTGGAAATAGAAATTGAAATAAATTTCAAAATTAGGATTTCTTTGAGAAAATATATAATTTTTTTTACCCCATATCCTTGAAATTTTCACTTCAGACGTATAAAAATATACAGACAATTATTTTCTAACTCAAATTCCAAAAATTAATTAATTAAAAGTTTTTTCCATTGTCGACTACTTATACCTTTGCAGAGGAATTAAATTTACTTTTTTAAAAATCAAATCGTGCAAAATATTAATTTTTTTTTATACATTTATTTCTCTGAAAATCTTGACTTAAGTCAATATATGTGTGACTATGTTGTAATTTTCATCCCTGTTCTCTTTTAGATTAATGTTTTTTGTGTGATTTATACTGGGTTTTTGCAGTGCAATGATTAATGTAACTCTATACAAAATTTTGCTTGGCCATATTTTTTTTTTTAAATTTCCTAATTTAGTATCTTTCAGTTTTTTTATAACCAGCATTACCGGTACAATATGCATATGCAATAAAATTTAATTAAAAAGTTGTAAATAATAATACATTTAATGTTTATATAGTGTAATCAAAATTACTCAGAAGAGTGATGTTTTGGCCCAATGTTAACTGCAATAGACTATTACAATAAAAATATACAAAAATTATTTTTATAAAAACAACTAAACTGTTAAGAGTGATATTATTTCAACACATTTATAACTCTGGATACGACATTGAGTTGCTATTGCAAAACACGCCCTGAATAGGACATTGAGTAGCCAAACACTGATAACTGAATACAATTACATAATTTTCTACAATTTACTTTTATATCATTGATATACAGAATAAGTCAACTATTATCTTCACATACTGAACCTTATACTTGATCGGCATAACTCACTTAATAAAGATTTTACAGAATCGAAAAAAATTAAATTCTTTTTAAATTTTCTTAAAAATAGAAAGGAATTGGTTTGAGATGAAAGAGAGTTGAAAGATTTATTGTGATATGTATACAATAAAAAGAAACAGTGATAGTTTAAAAACTATATACAAATAAATACAAAAATAAAATTTTTCTAATATATAGAGAAAAAGACCAAGTAAAAAATAAAAAAAGTCCATAATTAAGTCATATAGATGCATAGCAACTACACTTTTCTTAAACAAGAGAACTGTATTCCAAGTTACTGTCTGCTAACTACTTTATTTCTTCACTTCCATAGAATAAATCTCAAGATAGCTATAAATGATTGACTGAGTGTAAACAATAACAAGTTTCTATAACCGGAATGAAATTTTAAATGCGCCTGACATATTTCTCTATTTATGTCACGTGAATGAGACGATGTGCGATCAATCCAGGATAATCCAAGGTAATTTTATTATTGAAATTTTATTTATACTGATTGACATGTAATTTTATCATTCATAAGATTTTTCTATATTTTATAAATTCTTAAAGTCATGAGCTATATATCAATTTTAGGAAATTAGCGAGTGTAAAGGTTGCTGTGTTTTGAATATTATATTCAGATTTTTATGTTTTCCGGAAAGTTGAATGAATTTAAAAATTGAATGGTAAATAACACTTACCATTCAATTTTTAAATTCATACTGCAAACAGTACTATAACAATACAGGGTGACAGGTTTAAGCTTAAACATGAAAGTAAATCACAAGAAGTAACTTATTACTGATTTTAACCACGAGCGCCATCTGTGTTTAGCTTTATACAATTAACCCTGCATTACTCAATTATGAGAAACATCACATTTTAGTATAACTAAACCAATATGATTTTTCAAATAAAAATTACCATAAGTTTTTTATTTCTAAGCAGAAGGCGGTATGATATATAGGAATCCTAACAAACTGAAAATGATAATTGATTGAATAACAAATTTTTAAAAAGAATATTAAGAATAATTGTTTAAATAACTGCTAGTCATTTGTCATTGCTTAAAATAAGGGAGATCAGCGGGTGATTTGAAAAATGATTTTGTAACACATTTCTTAATTATGGGGTTTGAAAAAAGTATTGAAACTGATATGAATGAAGGCTTTAAACTCCACGTACAACTCATAAGTACGACTTTGTTTGAAATAAAAAAATTAAGACAATAGTAATAATTATGTGATAAATTTTTTAAAAAATCAGTAAATACATCTACAGTCATGACCATGCATTTGCTAATAAAATATTACACAAAATACAGAAAATAAAAATGAATTAACTCATTCTACTTAAGCTAAAATTTTTAAGTTATTGCTAAATACCTCAAACAAAGTAATCTAATATTTCAAAAGTTCATACAACATTCATGAATATATTATTCAAGCATGATGTATTCAACATGCTTAACAGTTTGTGAATGAATTATTGCATATAAACAACTATTGCTGTTATTTAGACTAAATTACAAAAAAAAGTTAACTAGTTGTCAACTAATGAAAGAACATTTTAATACAAAATGCAAGTCTTAATATATTACATTTTCTATGCCTAATCTTCAAACTACAGGTCATAACATAGCTACTGAGACAGAATTTGGCAGTTTGTTTATTATACACTATAGCAATATTAAAAAGTTAGTTTCTAATATTAAAAAAAACTATCAAAATGTAAGCCCATACTGTATTACTTTATGAATGTTAACTAAATATGTAACAGCAGTTGTTCATATACATAATCATTTGATGTATAAAAAGCTGTTTCTTTTTTTCCCCTAATCTACTGTCAGATATATATATGCATATATATTCTTTAACTAAATTCATTAGTAATTGAGACTGAATTCATTTCACATAAAACTAGTTTAAACAGATAAATAACATAATACTAGCTAAAACAGATTTTTATCATTTGTAAAGTAAATTATAAAAGGATTTAGTTTAAATGAAGATTTTAGTTTATAACTTTAAAAAAAAAAAAAAAAAAAAAANAAATATAAAAAAAAAAAAAAAAAAAAAAGAGTTTCACATATAACTTTTAAAAGATAATAACATTCAATAAAAAGGAGAAAAAAATGCATTGAAATTAAGCATATTACAACTTTATATATTACAAAATACTACACTAAACAAAAAAGTCAAAATAACATTGAATCAATTTACAAATAGAGTACCATGTCAAATATTACTAAACATAAAATCTATTTTTTTAAAAAGTTAGAAATTTAAATACTTGTTAATTTTATAGTAATAAATATCCATCACTATATGGAAAAAAAATAATAAGTACATCTGTAGTGCAATTTTTTTTAATTCATAGCAATGAATTTTAGCTGTTTTCTTCCAATATAGTACTTGAAATACTGTAAACCACTTTGGCAATGAAGATCACAATGAAATAAAACATGAAAGTGAAAAGAAAAAAAAGAAGACAAAATAACATTTTTTCAATAAAAATTTTTTCTTCAAATATATACATGGCTACATTTTAAAATAGAGTCAACATAGTACTTGAAGTTCGAGAAATGTAATATTATGGATATCTGAAGAAAAAAAATTAACAAATAAAAAAATCAGCAAACACAACGAGAATTGAAATTATTGTATTTCTTAACAATTTTAATAACATGAATTTTTATAAATTTAATTTTAAAAGAAAGGCAACTCCTACCCTTAAACTTTAGAAGCTTATTAAACTTTAAAAGAAAACTAGTTATGTTCCACTAATAAGGCAAATTAAAATTACTGATCAAGCCTCGTAATGAGAACATAAAAAAGATTTCATGTGTTTGGATAAATAATAATGAATTAGCAAATAAATGTAAAAAAGAGAAAATATTAAGTGCAGGGAATTAGAAGGTATAAGCTAGCATTGCGAGATCACTAGTTTGCCTATTGACATAATAAATACAATAGCCAATACTACAGAATAATGTGAAAGGAAACTTCTCTATCACATTGAAAAACAAGTCGTAAAATGCTAAACACATTGTCACATTGCTAAAACAAGTCGTAAAATGTACATAAAACTTAATGTTATTTTTTAATATTTTTACACAATGAAATGTCTATTCCATATTATTATTAATACACTATACTTGAGAATAATGAAAAAAAGGAAAACAACTTGTAGATCAGTGGCATCTAAAACAGAGGATTAAAAATAATACTGGACATAAGAATGTGAGATCTATTTAACTTAGCAATAAGAGAATAAAAAATGAATAAACAACAATAGCTTTTTAAAAATAATAAGTAACATAAGGAACAGGTTAAAAAATTCATGAATAAATAGGAAAACTAACCAAGTTTCGCTAAAGAAGAACTTTATTTTTAACTAAACATTATTTGCCTCTAAATAATGAGCTATTTTATTTCAATTTAGTACATCCTGATAAAATATTACTTAATTTGGATAGCAAAGGATAAATGAAAGATAATGTTAAATTTTACTGTCATAAAAACAAAATTGGAAGAATGAAGTTCAAACTTCTCTTCCCAGTAAAGAGACCAATCATATCAAAGCAATATAATTTTGAATTACATAGCGGCACACTCATTTGAGTGACTAAAAATAAAATGTACATTCTAATAAAATATGTGATTTTATTAAACTTGTTTAACACCACTATAAGTACAATGTTGGCTAGAAACAAATGTAAAATACATTAAAAAACAATATCATCATGAGCAATGTTTTAACATTAAAAACTCATTACTTGTAAATGATATGATAACAAGAGCAAAGTCCCATGTCAAACTTTAGCAATAGATTCGTTTTCATTGGGTCCTATTTGGATTTAAGCAAAACAGAATTTCAACGGCAAGAACTAAAAAGGCACAATAGATATATATATACAACACAAATATCCATAATTAATAACAGTTTACATTGAATTATTTATCTATACGCCAACATCAAATCAATCACATAAGAACTGTCCCAATATTTTTACTCAAAAAAGAATAAAATTGTGAATGGATAAACATAATAAAACAAATGGCATGATATAGTTTAGTGGGGACAAGTCTTTGTCATTCAATATACATTTAACAATTAAAAAAAACCTAGGTGATAATTAGAACTGTTATAAAAGTTCCAAAAAGTACCACCAGGCATTGATACATCACATTCTAGTTTCTAAAATATCTAGCCTTTATTGCAAATCAAAGCGTTGTTGCCCTTTGCAATAGTTCTGTTATGAATTTCTGAAATATACAAAAGATAAAATAAGTAAAATAACAAGTTAATAATAAAAATGATTATTTAAATAATTTATAAAAAAAAACTGAAACATTGAATTAGTTTTTGTTTTTTAAGGGCCTATCTATATCATTTTTACAATTTTTTTTAAAGAAATTTTTCTTATTTTTAACCTACAAATGCACCTACAGATTCCTCTTCACTCCCAATTCGAGAATAAGGCCTCCATAATTGCTTACTCTATTCGTGGCCTGATGTTTTGCCCCCTTCTATATGCTCTTTACCTTCAATTTGATTATAACAGTACTTCATCAAACAGTTTTTAGCCTCCCTCTATTTCTGTTGCCTTGAATATTCTAATTGAAAACATGTCTTACGTTAAACTTCTCATATTTACGGAGAACATGACTGATTCATTTCTGTTTATGTTTCTTCATTTCAAGTTCTAATGGTTTCTGTTTCACAATTCTAAGAATTTATGTGTTAAAAAGTTTTTTTGGACAAATTGATACACTAATTTATTTTTAAACTGTTGTTTATAAAAACCTTCAGGTTTTTCATATAATTATTGTTGCCGCAGTGCCAAAAACCTGATTCCTATACAAATTTAATGAGCAAGCATTTTGCTTTACAAAATTGCTTGCCTTAACATTTTCTAGCAACTTTAACTGATATCCTTGCACTATGGCTACCTAACTTACTTATGCTAAAACTAATGCTCTTTTTTTATTAACTTAAATATTTGTTGCTTGATTTATTTTGTTATAATTAACATTCATATTACAAACAAAATAGCTATGAAAACTAAACAATTTAAATATACACAATAAATAGCAAATATACACACCTCAACAGCATCTTCTGATTGCTTCACACCAACTAACTTTTTCTAAAAAGATATAAATAATAAAAAGGAATTAAAATAAAGTGGTTAATTTCTTATTAAAGAGCTTAATGAAAGAAGATGTTAAGTGACATGTAAGTGAATTCAGGAACAGTAGCTTATTAGCTTTAAAAAAAGTAGCAATAGGAGGAATCTGTTTTAGGTAATTTTTTATTACTGTTATTAGAAGACTTAATAAGCAGTTTAACAACAGAAAGAATTCAGTCAGTTTTAGAAAAATTATGATCTTTAAATAACAACTTTTTTTTTCCTTAAGATAATTCATTTATAGTCATTAATGGTAGAAGAAATTGTAAACAAAAATCATATTTTCATTTTTTTAATTGAAAATATCATATATATTGTATAAGTCAACCCCAAATTTCTGATTATGAGATATCAAATTTGTGGTATGTTGGGTGTGCAAGTTGACCATTAAAAAAAAACAGTTATGAAAAAAAAAATTATTGTAAAATATTTTAAAAAACATGGTATTTTGAAGGGAGTGAAGACAATTTTTTGTGAGACTCAGCAAATAAGAATAAAGTAAGATCCCTTGCAGAGAGAAATCTGTATCACATCACTTCTAACATTATTGAATCAAACACAGATAGTGTTTTCAAATGTATAAATTTGAAGCTCTATGGTATTACTTTAAAAGTTTTCACGCAATTATAATTATTAAAATAGTCTTGCATAAATTATCTTAATTTTTCTAATTCTAAATTATTTTCTGAATGTAATTTAAAATATTGTCTCTAAAAAAAAAACATTTACATGTAAAGCAAATATGAGAGAAAATACATAATTGTGTATTAGAAATAGTTTTTGAAAGGAGTAAATTGATATAGAGTATTTATATTTCAGTCCTAAACATGAATTGATATTTCATGATTAATGAATGTCACACCTCATTACTGGTAAGCAAGTCTACCTCCCGATTTTTCAAAAAAAATTTTACGTTTAAAAAGCTGACTTATACACCAAGATATATAGCAATAAAAGAATTTCTAAGTTTATCCTACACATTCATTGCGGATATTGCATATATTGCGGATATTGCAATACGCAATATAATAATTCAGACAAAGAGGAGAATGAATAAAAGATACATTGCAAAGTAACAATTTGCAAAGATTATTAACAATTATATAATTGGTTCTAAAAATTTTATGATATTTAACTATATTATTTCCAAAATTAATAAAAAAATTCCATTATTATTTTCTTTTAAATTGCTCTTTATAGTTGGTAAACTTTGAAAATTACAGTTATTACACTAGATATTACAGAAAAAAACACATACTGCAAAAAATATATATAGAAATCGAATATTAGAGCAAGGAATTCCATCGATTATTTAATGAAATCTAAAAAACAAATTATTAATATATAAAATAAAGTAGAAAAATAATTCTGCCAATCATTTTGATTCGTAACAATGCATTTCAACTAATTTTTTTTTTTTTTTTTGTGTTTTGAATATAATGGTTTTCAATAATAAAAACTACAGGCTCCAACATGATGTAGCCAATCAATTACTAGCTAATTTTATAAACACAACATAATTCCTATAATTAACTCTTGTCTTAAATAAAAAGCATGAACTTTGTTTAAAATACTTAAAATAAAAATAGAAAGAGAGATAAGGATAACATAATAAAGGAATCTAAAATAAAGCCTAAGACATTTACCTTTAACCACTCTCGTCTAGCTGGTTCAGATTCAATATCTAACAATTCATCTAAATCTATTTCCACTTCATAATGTGATTCTTCCTAAATAAAGGAAAAATTAATTACATTAATATTAACAATTAAGAATAAACAAATAAACTTGGGATTGATTGAAAATAGCTAATATATACATATATACCATCCATATATATATTTCTCTTACACGGCGACAAAAAAAAGCCTCATTACAACTCCCCAAATGGCAACACTAGAAAATCGACCAATGATTGCCGCTAAAAATGTCACATGCCAAATCTAGCTGAGGTGGCTCAACATATAGCGCTTTTAAAAACGGAAACTGAGATAATAATTCAGCTGCGGCAATCTCATACTATTAAGCTAAGCAGAAGTGAGTAGTCTTTGTCGATAGATCTCTATTTCAGTATTTTGTCGAAAATGCTTTTTTTCACGAATTTATTTGACGATTTTTGATTTATATCACGAATTTATTTGTTTTATTATTGTTATTAGTTATTCATTGTAAAATGAGTCTCAGTCAATGAGTCTTTATTTGAATTCAAATTTATTTTAATGACTTAGTATTTACTAAAAAGATGTTGTTATATGGACTTGAATGATTGTTTTGAATTCTTAGAATTTTGGGCATTTGCAATGTACCCAAGTTAGTAGCGAGCGAAGCGAGCTTGGTTTGCGAAGCAAACCATATAAGATTGCGTATCAATTTTCGGGGGTTGGCGAGCGTTAGCGAGCAGGGGGCGCAACCCACTAGTATTAATTATTACTTTATGGCAATGAAAGCTGACCCTTAAATGAGACTGAGGAAAATAAACTACAAATATTTGAAAGAAAAATACTCAGAACCTCTTTCAGAGCTATTAAAGCAAAAAACAGTGCTCGCCACACTCAGTACAATAATGAACTATGCAGAAAATTCAATTAACCAAACATAATTTCAGCCATTCGGTCAGAAACAAGTTTAAAGATGTTTTGGAAACAGGAGCCTCAGTAATCTGAGAGAAAAAATAATCTCTAGATGCTATGATGATTGGCTGTAAGAATGCAAGTGGAAAGAATGAGGCATATAGAATGTGAATTCTTATACTTCTGCACTAGGATGCACAGACGTGATGATCACATGCAAAAAGGTTTTAATTGTAAATAAGGATTTTGATGTAAACATAATTAGATGGGTGAACAACACTTAACAACAAATTTAATTAAACAAGTCAAGTACAAAATAAGTCTCGGACGTGACATTTCTATGCCATAACAACCCTGGGCACACCTAAAACAAGAGTAAAACAGTGCTTGTACCTTTTTCCCCCTCAGGGAAAATGTTTTAATCATTCTACCTTTCAATTAGGATTTTCCCTGTTTTTTTTGCTCTGAATCTTACTCTAATGCTAAAGTATGGGAATCTGCCTCTTGTATGTCTCTTCCTTACCGCTTGCCTCCTCAGCGTGTGGTTCGCCTTAGAGGAGTTTTGTAACCTGGTCTATTGGTAATACACGTGAAACTAAGATGACATTTAACTCGTCAAACAAGGTTTAAATGCAATAAAAACTAATTTTTACAAAGGAAAAATCAGAAGAACAAACTTCGAAAATGCAGATAAGTTTTAATAAAAAATCATAAGTAAAAGGGTTAGTCTACTTACGGGAGTATCGTATAAAACTTGGAGTTGATCATACATCCACATTTCAACACTTAAACGTTTTCTGATGAGGCTCATCTGATGCTGACCATACTTTGCAGTCAAATACTTCTTTTTCCTTTCATGCATTTCTTCATTATCTAACTCAAAATTTACATGCAACATAGATTTCGGAGGACTCTGCCCAGGCTGCAAATTTTTAACAGCTGATGATGCAGCTTTACTAGAAAAAGCTTGAGGTATACTACACTCCATCTAAAATAATGAATGACATTTTAAATTATCATTATTTTATAATGAAAACAAAAAATCAAGAGCTTATTAAGAAGTTTTAAGTGACATTTAAAAATAAAATAAGCTTCTTCAGTCAAATTTTTCTTATAGTCATATCTTTAACTACAAAACAATAATTTATGTTACCAAAAATTTAAATTATGTAGAGCTCAGGGAATGAGGTAATAAGAGAAAATTTTTGATTACTTTCAGAGCTTACTGGATTACTTAGAGCTTTTGATTACTTACTGGCATTTGGTAAGAAATAATTGATTAGTTAATTTAAAAGGCCTCTCAAAAAAGGTTTTCTGGTAACAAAATAAGCACTAAAAGTGAAAAAGCTATGACACGCAAAATTTCAATACAAATTTTGGACTTGCCAACAACAAATTAAGGAAAAGCATAATCGTTATTTTTTTAACTACGAATGGTTAACCCAGTAAAAGCTAAATGTGAATGGCATTAGCAGAAAAAATAACAAGATTATTAGGTTAGTATTTTCAATTAATTTTCCCAAAAAACCCTAGAGTTTATAAAATCGTTAAAATGTTCAAAAGTTCTATTCATCTATTGTGAAGTTAATCCTATATTCAAACTGCTGCTTTTCATGTGTTAATATTTAAGATGATATTGAATATAGGAAACAAAATAATCTCAAAGAGAAAATTCAATGTAGAAAAAATAATAAAAAGTTAAAATGGACAATAACATTTAAAAGACAGATTTTCATTTTATTTATTCATTGTTAAAAAAATTTTTAGTTCTGGAGTTTGATTAAATATATAAAACTTGAAAAAATCTCATTAATAGTGAGTGATAGATAAAATTTAAATCCTAATCTTAGAAATAAAATTTTCTATAATATTGAGCCTGTTTTTACTTTGACTCCAATATACAACATAAACAGAGGCTTATGGCCAAAATTATTTTTCAAATTCTGTTCTGGTTTTAGGAAGCTTATTGTTGTCAGTTATCTTCTGTTGCTGGATTAACTGTAAAGTTAATATGCTTAAATTTATTAAAATTTCACTTAAAATCATCATTCCCTCAGCTCCTTGATTGTTACACAACTGTAATTTGAAATGAAATGAGTCACAAAAATATCAATCATTTAATAACTAAGAAGAATCGTTCTTCAAAATGATTGTTCATTTGTGATGGTATTTAAATCATTCTTAAACCACTAAATATTTAAAATACAGTCAAACCTTCAAGGGACCGAAATTTTGGTTCACTATAACCGGGAGTTCACTATATCCGTTCCTCAAAAAATTTAACTAGTGGTTTCCAAACTTCTCCCTTTTATTACACATTATTCAAATAAATGACTGAAAAATATTATGTAGAAACAAAAAATTTGTTATTTTTCATTACTCTTCTACTGAGAACAAAAAGGAGTTGAAATGAGAGCCTTATCAACACATATTAGTGTCCAACCCTTTGACCAATATTGAATAATTACACATTTCCTCTGATAGAAAATGCATATTCATCCCACTGACACCTTACAGGTGCATCGTCTGCCTGGGTTGGAAACATCTGCTTGGTTTGTTAAGGGATGGGAAAGTGAGATAACAGAAGCAAACAAGAAAAAATGAGTATTGATACATTCCCCTCTATAGATGGTTTTGAAAATCGGTATATGTATTTAATTTGAAGTAGAAATTACAAAATTATTACAACAATTTTTTTAAAAAAAATCAGTCGAAGACAGAAAAAAGTTCATTATATCCAACTTCCTCACTTTTTTGGTTCATTATATCTACAAAAAATAACATTATCCGTGTATAGCAAGGCACGGGACAGAACATTTCGTTCACTATAGCGGGGTTTGACTGTATATACAAATAAAATGTTGATTTTTAGTAATGCAGGTAGATTTGAAAAACAAATAATATTTAAACCATATTATAAAACTTAAAGCTAAGGAATAAATCTACCAAATGTCAAATTTAAAATATAATCATGACAAAAAATCAAAAGCTTTATATATCTTATGAAATAGGAGAAAAAATTTAATAGCTTTTATCATCCTAATTTTTTGACTTAAATTCTTAAAATGTAGTTAACAAATAAAAACAACAGTAGTTAAATTCTTGTTGTATTGATGTACTTTAGTTACTTCTCTTAGTTTTAGTTCTTAGTAGTTACTTCTTCTTGTTAAACTCATTGTTAACTCTTTGGAAAACAGCAATAACAAGTCCCCTAAAACAACTTCCATTGTCATGTTAATGTTCCTAATTTGCTAATGTTATTAAATTTACTAGAAAACTTTGAATCAAAAAAGCATTCAAAGACATATAAAAGAATAATTAGCTTGTATCATAAGAGAAATAAAAAAGTTTATACATGCATTTAAATATTTAAAAATAGAAAGAAAAAAGTTTGTGCATACAAAGTAATTGTTAATTTATTTGGTACAATCTAATGTTTCACTTGCATTCAGTAATTTAACTAAAAATTATCAAATAATAGATCAATATACAATTAAAACAGTAATACTGAAAAATAGTTTACTAAGATTAGAGCTTCAATAGCTTTCAGTCACATTAAACCAATATGCATGGTGAAATTTCTTCGTGCGCTGTGTGTAATGATATGGAACTTGGACAAGGTTAACATTACTTCAAATTATGTGTGTGTATATGATTTGTCATAGTAGATTAAAATTTAAAAAAAGTTCATAAGTTTACCAAAAGTTAGAGTAACATAGGTAAAACATGAACATGGTTTACAAAAATAGAGCATATGCCTTTTAAAAGAAGTGTTTTCAATTTATTAAAGTGTGATGACCATTAATATTAGCGACTTTTTGTTACAAATCAAGAATGCACAATCTAAAGTGTCTGTTACCTAAATTTCACATCATCATTAATTATATAATGCCTTGGCATTAAAAACCTTTTCATTTTTTAACAGATAAATAATTGATTTTTGGCAAAATACTTTATGAAGAATAAAATACTAATTTTGAAAGAACTTAAAAAAGAATTTTTAGGTCACTAAAAGTAATTATATACTTTATTACAGAACAGTATAACTGTTAACAATAGGAAATTGAGTTTAGATTATAATACATATCTTTCCATCATTTTTGTTATGCCTCTCCTCTTTTTAAGAGTTTCTAATAAAAGCAACCATACTACTTTGCAACTGACACTATTAATACCAAATAAATAGTTAAATTTTAAAAACCCTGCACTCTAACAAGCAAAATATATATATATATATATTATATATATATATTATTTCACACAAGCTTATTTTGATAGTAAATATAGATACACAATACAAAAAACAGAAACAAACCACTGCCATCTCCTTAAGTTTATTACATAGCTCTTCATTAATTTACAAAAAGATTGTTTTCGTATTGTTTGTTAGCACATTAAATGAAATTATATTTTTAAAGTCACCATTAATGATTATTATTATTTAATAATTAAATTAGAAATTTAAATTAAAACTGTCATTTAACAAAAAAAATTGTCTTTATAAAACAATGAGTTTTTTTTAATAATCAAAATCATTTATTTAAACGGTATCAATTGATTTTAATCATTCATCCTCATCGATTTGAAAGAAAAATGTTTCAAAAAAGAAAAATATTTAAATAATTTCACACTTCGATAGCTAAAAATAAATTTAAAAAATCCTTTAACTGCAGAAAAAATGTAAGAGAAATTAATATCAGTTTTCGCTAAATATTATGCACGTAAATTTTATACACAAAATTTTATCTACACACTTTAAAGTGATTAGAAGAAAAATGCACGACTTTTAATTCACAACACTATAAAGAACAAAGCTCATTGTATGATAACGCAAATTTAAAAAAAAGAGAGAGAAAGATAAGAGTAAATTAAACACAATGAGCCATATGAGTCACCGGACATCCGTAAGAACAACGGGAGCATTTTTTTTTAAAAAAATCTTTACGATCTGAATAAGAATAACATACAAAGATTAAAGATCAAAGTATAACCAAGGACTTAAATATCTTATTTTCAAAACTTACTGAACTATATAAGATAGCTAAAAAAATAAGTGTATCTCTTAAACAACACACGGTAAAAACACAAACCGCCTCTGTAGCAGAACAAAAACAAGGAGCTTTGTTTGACTTCATTCATGTTGAGGTGCAAAAAGGCTGCTGAAGTAAAAAATATAATAGAATTAAGACTGACATGATGTCTGATGTGCGTTTTTATCAGTTTCACCCCTAAAAAAAAATTTAATTAAGATTTAAATTATAATTTTTCAATCATTAATTCATAAATTTGAAGTAAAAGAGATAAAATGAATTATTATCCGAGAAAGCTTAAAGGATTATTCACACAGGAAGCAAAATTTTCCCTTACCGAAAAAGTCGAGCATGATTGAGAACCAGATTGGTTGAAAATATTTCCCCGCGAAAAACTCGTCAGTCAATTCACAGTTTCGCTGCACGTAATTTCATGTGGGAATCGCATTACAGTAAGAATGGTCCATAAAGGGCCATTCACAATGCATGTGAAAAAATCGCGTATACGATTTTTTTTATTATTAAAAATTTAACAAAAAATCTACGACTGATTTGAAAGTTGATTCCTCAGGAACGTTTTCATTAAAATTCAGTAACTTACTTATGAAATTACTTTCTTTAAAATGATGAATTTTTGAATAATGTAATTAATGAAATTATCTTTGGATAAGCTAATTTTATATTTCTGTACAGAAACTTTTCGAATTGCCTTAAAAATTCTCGTGATATAGCGAAATACGCAAAAAGTAAATTAATATTATTGCGGGGTAAACTTTTGACGGTTCTCTAAAACAAACTAATAGAACCATATTTCCCAGATTGCAGCATATTTCAAGGTCGGCAATAGGGATGGGCAAGGTATATGATTGCCCGGAACACCATGTAAGGGGGCACCGAACAAACCCAGATTTAATGCCCTGAAAATTACTTACTTTCTAAATTTTTAATACAATATTGTTCTTTTTGAAAGATATTTGAAGGTTATTTTGTATTAAATAGTATATTCTTATGCTAACTTTTTGATGGCTAAAGTTCTCTAAGTAAAAATTTTATTAAAGATGGAAAGAAGAGTGTAAAACAGAAAAATCAAGTGTTTGACATTCAATAGAATGAGTTCCGTATTTTCCAGGAAGGATCTTCTGTAGGGATTTATGGTTCAGAAAACCATTTAGCAAACAAGCCAATATTCTCAAAAGGCGAATACAAGACAAAGATAGGGAGAGGAATGACCTTTGAGAATGGCCGTGGTCTCAAGTTTTGTGCCAATTGAGCCAGTGCGTCAAGCGTACTCTTAATACAATGTAAATTTGCTGATACAAATCTAAATATTTTATGTAGAACTTACTTCTATTTCGTCTCGAAATGTAATTTAAATTTAAGTTTTTCCTTCAAATCTCGGCTGATTTTTTGAGAAATCGGGACTATTAAGAAACAAGAACAAAATGTTTTTTTTTTCAGAGCTAATTAGATAATTACCAAGATTTTAAGTTAACAAGAAACACATATATACTTTTGCAATCTTATACATATTTTGTTCTTTGATGTATATTTTAAATAATTATTAAAAGATTTTTCTTGAAAAACTGAAGTGAGACTTTTTTTTCCTAAAAAATATCTGCTAATAGTGGGCTCGATAACTTCGTTATTTATCTGATTTATCTAAACGTTTAATATTTTGCATTTATCGTTGCACGTAGGTTTTTATATATATTTATTTTTATATGTAGCTTTATATACCAATATTAGTCTGAGTAGAGAATATCTAATCTTCCCAAAAATTATTTGATCGGAATAATCATTTAATTTTAATACTATTATGATAACTGTACGCTCTTTTAATAATGTGTTTTATACAAGATCCTTTTCAATTTACCTTAAATGGTTATTTTCAAGATAGTTAAGCAATTTATTACGATTGCACTTGTCTCTTTGTCATGAAAACTGTCATCGTGAGCAATTTAGGTGCAGCGAGTGAATAAACTAAGACTGAGAGATGGAAGGAATCCAATCAACAGATTAGTGAATGGGTGAATTAATACGAATCAGTAATAAATAGCAGTGAATTAATTTAAGGGCGAATCATTGAAGGATATTTTCGTGGTTAGTCGGATGAAGGAATGTGTTTATAAATACATAAAAAAAAGTATTTATAAACCTATAAATTGATTTACGGCTGTCGACGACAAAAATTTTCATTTTCAAAGCAATTTCTAAGAAAAAGACAGCATATGGAATAAAAATTACAACAAAAATGTGTAACAAAAATGATATCTCAAAAATAGTTGGTAATCACGCACTTATGTGAATAAAAGGTAGCAGAGCTAAATATTGCTTTCCTTTGGTTTGTGCATGGTCACTTGTGTTGTGTTCACTTTATTTACTTCCTTGATCATAGCCTACGAATATTCCTTCTACTACTTTTTCATCCAATTTGCACCTTTTACTGTTATGAATGTGGGCAAGGGCTTTTGCAACAAATGTTTTGATATTTGATCAGGTTTGAAGCCTGTCCAAAGTTCATAAGGAGTTTTTGATGGTGCTTCGGTTGAAAGTCTATTTTGGAGTTAGTTAACCGTCATCACCGCCTCTGCACAAAATCTTTATTGTTATGTTATCTTCTGATAAAAGACATGTTGTCATTTCTACCAAGCTTCCATTTTTTATATCTGATACTACGTTTTGAGGAATTGAAAATGGAACAGTTAGCTGGTTTTCAACCATATTCAGTTAAGAAATTTTCAGCATAATTTCCAATATATTCCCCTCCGTTATCGCTTCGTAAAACTTTCAGCACTTTACCAAATTTATTTTTAGTTACGGCAACGTACTTTTTAATTTCAGAAAAAACTTCGCTTTTTATAGACAGTAAATAAATTGTGGTATATCAGGAATAGTCGTCTACAAATATTAAAAAAATATCGTTTACCACTAATACTGGCTATTTGCATTGGACCGCAAATGTCACTATGAACCAAACCAAGGGGTTCTTTAGCTCTATATTTAGCTTCTTTGAGTAAGAAAATTCGGAAATTTTATTTTTAATACAATGAACACAATTTTCCACTTGATGACTACCATCTATTTTAATACCATCGGCAAGATTATTTTTGACTAATTGTTTTATGGCTTCACTGTTTCAATGACTAAGTCTCTTATGCCATAAAGTTATACGATTATTATTATCGCATTTGAATGAATAGTTAACATTCATTTCATCATTACTTAAATTCACTTTATATAAACTATTATTTTCAAAAATAGCTTGCATGCAGGTTATATCATCTTTATTTACAAAACATTGATCTTTATCAAAAATTACTGAGGAGCCATTTTCTGTTATTCTCTTAACTGAAATTAAATTACTTTCTAATTCAGGTATGTAATATACATCTTTTAATAATAAGTTGAAAATGCCATTGTCTGTATTTTTTTTTGAGACAAACGTCGCCGAATCCTTCCGAAAATAAACTTTTCCCATCTGAAATAGTTATTTTCAAAGGTTCTTTGTTTTTATTGAAATTAGAAAATAATTTTCTATTATTTAGTAGATGTTGTGGTAAGCCGATACCAATGTAAAATGTTTTAGAGCCGTTATTAGATTTTCATAACTCACGGGTAGACCACACAGCAATGAAGCTGTTGTTGTTGTTGTTCATTTACGTCGCCCTAGAGCTGCGCAATGGGCTATTGGCGACGGTCTGGGAAACATCCCTGAGGATGATCCGAAGACCAGCAATGAAGCTGAAATGTGAGAATTATGTAATACCTAGTGTGACTTACTCAAGGAATTAAGGCATTATTAATTCACTAAGAAGTTCAGATTGCCTTTTAAAATAAGAGCTTATTATTAAATGAACATAATTAGTAAATATAAGCCGGTGAACTAGTGCTCTTAACAAGATGGAGGATGGATGAGTAGTGAAGTGAAACTTATTAAAAGTTATACATTGTATAATTAAACAGCCCCATCCAGTGGCTAAAATTACAAATAGTGAAATAGTGAATTAGAAGATTATTGATAAAATATATATTTTACAGCAAAACAACTGGGTTTTTTTATAAAACTGTTTACGACTACTAAATGTCAGAAAAGAATATGCTTATTAAAAATATTAACTGTAATAAATATTAATTCTAGAATACTCGAGGTTATATTCTCATTAATTTAACTAACGGTTTTCTTTTTTAACCTTAAATCCCTTAATTGTAATTTATCTTGTTTACATGTTCCCCAAATATTGCAACTTAAAATGCGTTATGACTACTTTAGTAGGACAATTCAATTATTTAAAAAAGAAAAATAAATTCCTTTTTCAAAATTAAGATAAGGGCGCCGTTTTTAATATCGCCCGTGACAGCGTTTTCCTCCGACACTGCGGCTACTCCATATATTTTTAGAGTCAGGAATCAAAATCCGTCTTAAAAAGGTATGTTTGTATTCAGAGGAAGTACGTTTCTTTGCCTGATTTTGTAATATCGGCTGCACTAATAATTAGCATATTTGAGGTCATCCCCTCGAACCAGTCAGTCCTAGTAGTGGAAAATTTGATCATTAGATCAAAAGTTATTCAGGACGATTATTATTATTTTTTTCCGCCCTGCATATCTTAGCTGCAATCTACCATTTTGCCAGAAATAGGAATCTAAGGTAAATCTTAGGAAATAACAGTCAATTTCATTCGTTTTGTAAAATTATTTTAATATATAACTAGGATATTTTCCATTTGGAAAAGGATCAAATCCGTGTTTGATGATAACTTCAAAGAGGTAAGAGTAATAAATCAAATCAGTATTTCTTCAAATATTTTTGCATTCACTTCCAAGGGGTGCAGTTAAATTTATGCGGGAAAGTATAAACTTTAATCAAAATATAAAAAAAATAATAACCCAAATAAATAATCTATTGGCATAAATTAATGGTATAAATTAAGCATAATAGGTACAAATAAAACAGTAGGTATAAATACTAGGTATAATAATATGTATGACGCCTGGTGGCTGAGCGGTAGCGCTTCGCGCTGTCGTGCCGCAGGTCCCTGGTTCGATCCTCGGGCCGGGCAAGGTTGACTCTGAAGGTTGCGTTTATAATAATAGGTATAAATTAAACATATCTCTTGTCATTAAAGTAAAATGGGGAGTGGACTTCGAATGA